AAGGTAATCATCATCATGATCAATGATTACCTTTTCTTCCTTATCATTCATGCTACCCGGGCCTTCATATATATAGCCATCTTCAACATCATGTGGTGGTATTTTTTATTATATTTTTTCTTGGACAAAAGTCAAATGTACTATTGGGCAAAAGACTTCATACTTCTCAGGCTTATATGAATGCTACGAAACTTTGAATAATTTTACACTACTTAGTATAAGAGTTATTAACTAATTCAACTAGATTAAGAAAATTTGTTAAGTTAGTTATTTGTATAAGTTTTGAACTTCCTAAAATATCCTTTTAATCATGACTATTTTTGGATGGAAACTCTCTTAATATGTGTAATCAGTAGAAATACTTTAGAAAATAAATCATTCATTTAGAAAACAAAGTGGATTGAATTCTTATATTTATGAGTAAGTACGATTTTCAATTAGTTTTTGTACTAAGAACCAGAGTACGATTTCCAATTAGTTCTTATACTAAAAACCAGAGATAGTGATTTATAGTAAATTACTATTAAACCAACAAGACTTCAAATAATTTCCCTTGCTGACGTCTGCCTCCGATTGTGTGTGAACATATATACCATTCATCACTCAAGACTTTCTGCAGCCTAAGACTTTCGGTTCGTTATTCATACTCTGTCCGGTGTCATATATATGTAAATGATACTCTTGGACAGATTCTATGAATTATTGACACTACCTCCCCATCATTTTTATAAAATATAATTAATTTACTGAATTGCGCGATTTAATAAATGTGTTAAAATTAGTTAAAAATAATAAACATATAAGAAATATTTTTTTAATTTATAAAAGGGCAAGTGAAAGAGAAAAATAGTGAAAAGAAAAAGATAAAAAATATATATGTGAAAACGATAATATAATTAACTTATGGTGGAACTAAATCTCATAAAAAGGATCAAACTAATTCAATAATTTGAATCTTATAAAAAGGACCCGAGGGAGTCTTTTTATTTGAAATTTTAATCTTCTATTTTCATTTTTTTTACCCTCATTAAATACATGACCATACATTAATTCTCTATCATTCAATAGCATCTCTTACACACCTACTTTTTATTTTTACAGAATATTACAAGAGGAAATGAAAAAAAAAATCATATTTATTAATCATTAAAGAATACTAAGCTCATGCGATAATAATTTACAATAAAACTATTTAGGGTCGCACAGTACTTTGGTTAATTGGTGTTATTTAAAAGGGTAAAGGTGTAAATTTACCTTGATCTTATTTCTCAAGTGCACCTGGTACCCCAATCATTTTTGTAATGCAATTTTTCCATCATCTTTTTTAGTACAATTTTACCCCTGACACCTAAAGATCAGCAATAAAATTGCACCCAAAAAAATAAATCATGGGTAAAATTGCATCCAAGAAAAATAAGATCAAGAGTAAATTTGTTCCTTTACCCTTTTAAGTGACACCAATGAACTTATGGGTTTTTTTTTTTGGGGTTCAACTAAGGGTATTGGATTAATCTGATCAAAATAAAAACAATCATAGTTTAAATCCACTGTTACCACCACCATGACCCGCGTGGGATTTTTCAAGTCAAACTTCCTTAGTCATCACAGCCAACAAATTCAGGCCACAAGAGATGAGAACATGGGGTTTGATGTTTTGAAATTTGATGAGAATTTGATTTAATCATTGCATTAAAAGAATAACAATCCATTCAATTTAGAATGGGCAACGTTGTATTAGATCAGTTGTTTTACAATTACAACTAATCTCCTTGTGGCTGATCCATATTTGTATTTTGTAGAGAGCCCAACCCAAAACTGTTCTGAAAGTCCAGGGAATTTTATAAAACCCAATCGGTTAAACATTACACACACATATATTCCCTAATCTCTTCAAGCAGCTGTTCATGAGCGCTCTAGTTAGCATTCCGTTCATGCCTCCGTTTAGTTCATGTTGTTAATTAGCAACTTTCTAGACATGTTCATCATTATTTATTTTGATGTCTCGAGATCTTGTCTCTAAGTTTCTTCCAAACTCTAAAATTTTCCACAATCATACTAAATTGCATTTTAATACTTGCACATGAGAAGTTGTGCAATAAAGGACCTCCGAGGACCCACTTTTATGTCCAGAACTTAGTACGTTCTCTCATTCTTACGTTTGAGTTCATGTGTCGGATTCCCTTCCCCCTAATCCAATCGATTATGAAAGTTGCCTTCAGATGTTGCCTCTAGTTGCTTGGCCAAGGATTAATTCCGATTTGATACACACACACACACACAGATATACATTCACGCATGCATGCACATATACATACAACTCTTAATTACATGATCACATCATATGACTAATTTACGGAAAAACAGCAAAACCTTGGTTCAAATTTTTTTGAATAAGTTTTATTCTACTAGCTATGTTATGAGACAGCAAATGTTAATCCAAATGCCTCATAGACAGTGGTGAAATTCACGCATTCGCGGGATGAGGATAATGACGTTCTTGTTGATAAAAACCCAGGCCCCAGATAGGTTATTGACCTTATTTTTCTTATCATAAAACTTTGTTTAAAATTTCTCATTCATTCATTTTGTGAATTGATTTCTTGTTTTTACTTTTATATGAATACGTAAAATTTAAGTTTTAAGATTTGTTGCTAATCACGCAAACACATGCACAACACAAATACGTACATAACAGAGTACATATTTAATTTGAGCTATGCTTATTTATTATTTTATGTTTTATTATTGTTTATCTTTGAATTATGTTTATGAGTTAGTGAGAGAAACAGCCTATGAGCCAAATTGAAATATGAAAAATTCAGTGAGACTAAATGTAAATAAGTGTTATGATACGAAAATGTGAAATAAGTGAATTGCAACGTCACTCTAAACTAGAACGTAATATTATATGACTTTGCGCGCGCGCGCGGACATATTGTCGCCTTTTATCTTCTTTTATAGTTATTTTATATATATGTGTGTGTAGATTTTAGTGTGGAAAATGTTTATAACCAGCCATAGTAATTGCAAACAACACGAATCGTTTGTAAGAATTTTTTTCAATGCATGGAAAAGCATACCTATTTTTACATGGTAAGTTTATTTTAAAACAGAAGTAATGGCATCATTCATTTCATAGTAATGGTGATATATATTTGTCTTCAATAAAAAATTCCTGATACTATCAAGTGTTGAATAGATTTACATATCCTTATATTAATAATATTCCATGCCAAATTGATATTATGCGAGCAATATCATGTGGTGAAGACATATAGGTGGCAATTATTGTCAGACATAGACTGTTCTCATCAGTCTTATTATTCATTCTCATACGCCATCTTATTACGAACATACCAACCCATTTATTTATGTACTAAGGCACTAATGTCTCCTGAGGCTTTTATAACAACCCGTTACATACTTCTAATAGGAACTACCTTCATAACCAGCTTCTTTTATTTATTATATCTCCATATCATACAGACACTTTATTACAGGAATCAAACACTACTCAAGATGGACTTCTGAAGAAGATAGCAGATGAAGATTAAGAAATTAAACAAGTGTGTTCATGCAGCTGTGTATGGTCTTCTGAATGAAAACTTGGCTGCGTCCAAGCTGTTAGGGGAAAACAAAATAGTAATTAAGACTCATTTGCTTTGGATAAAAATTCAGAATTAAAACCCTATTGATAAAATAAAAATAAATCTTGGTAATTGGAACTTGGAAAAATGATAGCTTACAGGTGACCAAGGTTAATTATGAAGCTGCAAATATGGACGGAGGGTTACAATCGATGACTGAATTCCCTTCCTGGTTGACACACACGAATCTCAAGAAGCAGACGTTGAACTATGACTGCAATTGGATTCTCATGACCCGTGATGTTCTCAATAGCTTTTTCTATGTCTGCCTTCCCACGTAGAGTACTTCCATCTTGGTTGATTATTGAAACAAAGTAAATGAAACCCAATGACATGTCAATAATAAAATAGTCATTCCGTGCATCTCCTGTACATCAAATAGTGTGTACCTTTCTGTTGGAAGTATTCAGTGAATTTATTTGTATTTGCTTTACTTTCTTGTAAGCCCATTAGTGGCCCATTAGTTTAGGCTTAGTTGTTATTAGTTTAGAGATGGAACGCTGCGCATCATCTATAAATATCGGGTTCAGTTTTGGCCCATGTGTACAGTTTCTGATTATCAATAAAAAAAAAGAAATATTCAGTATAGTGCTGTGCGTTTAAGGGCCTGTGGAACACTCTGTCGTTCAACATGGTACCAGAGCAGGAAGGCGCCATTGATTAGGGTTCACAAACGAGGCCATTCACGTAACCCAATCTACTCCATATCAGAGATCTACACGGCTGGTCACATGGGAGACGAGAAGGTCACAACCAACGGTATTTCTTTTTCACATCCTCTGTTCTTGCATCCGTCCGACACACAGGGGACGGCAATTATTCCCCACATACTGATCGGAATGGAGAATTATACTGTCTGGTCACGAGCAATGACCATCGCGCTCCTAGGCAAGCACAAAATAGGGTTCGTCGACGGCTCTTGCAAGAAAGCCGATCAAGAAGAACGCCTGCAACCCCTGTGGGAGAGGTGCAACGCGGTCGTGCTTTCGTGGCTGATTAATTCCATTTCCAAGGAATTAGCAAATGGAATTATCTACTTTCAAGACGCGCATGCCGTATGGATCGAGCTGAAGGAACGCTTCGATAAAAAGAGCGGCTCGCGCATCTTCGCACTTCATAGGGAAATTAGCTCCCTTCGACAAGGCACAAATCCGGTCACCGTGTATTTTTCGAAGTTGAAAGAACTTTGGGAAGAGCAGGCGGCTCTTGTTGCAATTCCTTCTTGTATGTGTTCAGCGGCCAAGGCATATTCAGATGCCATTCAAGAACAGAAACTGTTGCAGTTTCTGATGGGCCTAAACGAGAATTTCACACAGGCAAGGAGTCAGATATTGTTGATGTGTCCCCTTCCGTCTGTAAATGAGGCTTATGCAATGATCGTGAAAGACGAGACCCAACGATCTATCTTGTTTGCCGATAGAAATGTTCCCACCGAAGGATTGGCGATGACCGCTAGGGGTAGGGGACGCGGACGAGGAAGAGGCAGGGGAGATATCATGCCCGAATGCACCCACTGCCGCAAAAAGGGGCATCTTCGGGATAATTGTTTCCAGTTAGTCGGATATCCGCCAAATTTCAAAGGAAATAAGGGGAGGCAGCAAAGGGACTTTCAGCAAGGGGGAGCTGACAAAGAATCGGACCCTCAAGGTCATGCTGCAACCACAGTGGCGCCGACATTCACAAAAGAGCAATATGAAAAGATTCTGGAGTTGTTGAAGAAAGACATGGAGCCTACGGTACATGCCTTAACTGGTACAGGTTTGATCAATCCTTTACCTAACATTCAATCCTATACACATTGGATTTTAGATTATGGTGCAACTACGCATATGGCTGGAAAATTGGAATTATTCGATGAATATAAAAATTATGATGGACCGATTAAAGCAATTAGAATACCTAATGGGGATAGGTTATCTGTCACACATATTGGTTCAGTCACTATTGCTGACAGCGTTATTATTCATGATGTTCTTTATGCTCCTCGTCTAGAATTTAACCTGATATCTATATCTAGGTTTACAAAGGAACATAATTGTATGGCTGCCTTCTTTCCTGATCTCTGTGTACTGCAGGGCCTTCAGGATGGGAGGATGAAGATGATTGGTAAAGAATATAAGGGATTGTATGTACTAAAAGTGACAAATACCCCTATTTTAGCAAATGTTGTTCAGAATAGAGACATGAGAAAAGATTGTGATATCCAACTATGGCATAGAAGATTAGGACATGCCCCCATATCTGTGATGAAACATCTGGATCAAATATGTACTGAAAATTCCATTTTGAATAAAGTTTCCAATTCTTGTGAAATCTGTATTCAGTCCAAACAGACTAAATTCCCTTTTAATTCAAGTGTTATTAAATCTCAGAAAAGTTTTGATTTAATTCATGCAGATGTTTGGGGGCCCTATAGGAGCCCCACACATCAAGGCTTTCGATTCTTCTTAACCTTAGTGGATGACTTTTCCAGAGTTACTTGGATTTTTTTGATGAGACATAAAAATGAGGCAGAAATACATATCAGAAACTTTATTGCATATGTTTCAACCCAATTTTCTGTGAATGTGAAGAGGATTAGAAGTGATAATGGGACGGAGTTTACCAATAATCAGTTGAGGGTTTATTTTCAACAAAAGGGGATAGTTCATCAAACTTCATGCCCCTACACACCTGAACAGAACGGGGTGGTAGAAAGAAAGCATAGAACCATTATGCAAATCACCAGAAGTCTTATCTTGCAATCAGGAATACCCATTAGATACTGGGGAGAATGCATTAAAATGGCAACCCACTTGATAAATAGGATTCCTTCAAAGATAATAGATTACCAAACTCCTTATGAGAGAATTTATGGAACAAAACCAGACTTGAGTGACTTGAAAACATTCGGATCTCTTGCTTATGCTACTAATTTGAAGTCCAACGATAAATTGCAGCCTAGATCCATTCCTAGTGTCTTCCTAGGATACCCAGATAATCAAAAGGGATATCTGCTCTTAGATTTAAAAGAAAATACTATTTTTGTGAGTAGACATGTGCATTTCATTGAAGATAAGTTTCCCTTTAAGGATGTTAGAGACAATTTTAAAGAAGGATTAAGTAATGATATGAAGTCAATGTTCTGGTTTGAATCGGACTTTATTGGAAAACAAAGGCCTGAGGTAATTACAGAACCTGAATTAAATAATGATAGTACTGGTCCTGTAACAGATGAAGTAAATGTTGAAAGAGATAATGATCCTAATAGGAGTGGAAACCAAACAAATGTTGAAAATCAAAGGTCTGCACGTGCTAGAAGACCACCTATTTGGGCAAATGATTATATTTGTTCTTTACTGCAATATGACTCTGATTGCCTTATAAGGACTAATTGTAAATATCCTATTGATGATTATCTTTCATATGCGCATCTGTCTGTTGATCATATGTGTTTCCTTTCTTCTATTGATTCAAATTGTGAGCCATCTTCTTATGAGGAGGCTGTCCAAAATAGGAACTGGGTAAAGGCCATGGAGGCTGAAATGAAAGCTCTAGAGAGTAATAGGACTTGGACAATAGTTCCCTTGCCTAAAGGTAAGAGGGCAATTGGTTGCAAGTGGGTATATAAAATCAAACATAAAGCAGATGGTAGTGTAAATAAATTTAAGGCTAGGTTAGTAGCCAAAGGATATAACCAAAAGGAAGGCATTGACTATCATGAAACCTTTTCTCCTGTTGTGAAAATGTTTACAGTTAGAGTCGTAATGAAATTGGCAGCTGTTAACAAATGGAACATTTATCAAATGGATGTTCATAATGCATTTTTACAAGGTGATCTGAATGAGGAAGTTTATATGAAAATTCCTCAAGGATTTGAGAGAAAAGGGGAACAAATGGTTTGCAAATTGAACAAATCCCTTTATGGTTTAAAACAAGCCTCAAGACAATGGAACCAAAAATTATCTGAGGCACTACAGAAAGGAGGTTTTACACAAAGTAAATCAGATTATTCTCTTTTCATCAAGCGGGATACTAATGGTGTTGTTCTTATCTTAGTATATGTAGATGATTTGCTAATAACTGGGAGCACTGAATCTGGAATCATTGAGACTAAGGAGTTTCTGCATAGTCACTTTAAAATAAAGGACTTAGGATTAATAAAATACTTTCTTGGAATAGAAGTAGCTAAGTCTAGGAGAGGAATTGTTCTGTCACAAAGGAAATATGTATTGGATTTGTTGTTTGAAACTGGTATGACAGGTTGTAAGCCGCTGGGAGTTCCAATGGCTCAAAGCTTGAAACTGTTGGCCTATGATGAAAGAAAGAATCGTGAAGAAGACTTGCTGAAAGAACCCTGGAAATATAGGCGTCTGGTTGGTAAGTTAATCTCTTTAACAATGACCCGGCCTGACATCTCTTATTCTGTGCAGACATTGAGTCAATTTATGCAAATGCCAACTAAAGCACACATGGCGGCAGCAAGAAGTGTTCTGCGCTACTTGAAGGGTACTCTTGGATTGGGAGTTTTCATTAGCTCAGAAGGAAAACTGGAGCTGGAATGCTTTTGTGATTCAAACTGGGCATCCTGTGCAATGACAAGGAGGTCTGTTTCTGGGTATTTGTTGAAGCTGGGAGGATCCCTTGTGATGTGGAAGACTAAAAAGCAGCACACTGTCTCAAAGTCCTCTGCAGAAGTTGAGTACAGAGCATTGAGTATGGCAACGTCTGAGATGGTTTGGGCAGTTAGTTTACTGAAAGATTTAGGTATAGTTTATGTGGATCCTGTGAGAATATATTGTGATAACAAGGCTGCGATTCATATTGCAGCCAACCCTGTTTTTCATGAGCGCACAAAACATATAGAGATAGATTGCCATTTTGTTAGGGAAAAATGGGAATCAAGGATGATTGATTTACAACATGTTAGAAGCAGCAACCAAGAGGCGGATCTGCTAATGAAACCTGTCGCAGGAAGTGTACAGAAGCATCTGTTGAGCAAGTTAGGAACTATAGATATTTTCAAGCCCCTAACTTGAGGGGGAGTGTTGGAAGTATTCAGTGAATTTATTTGTATTTGCTTTACTTTCTTGTAAGCCCATTAGTGGCCCATTAGTTTAGGCTTAGTTGTTATTAGTTTAGAGATGGAACGCTGCGCATCATCTATAAATATCGGGTTCAGTTTTGGCCCATGTGTACAGTTTCTGATTATCAATAAAAAAAAAAAGAAATATTCAGTATAGTGCTGTGCGTTTAAGGGCCTGTGGAACACTCTGTCGTTCAACACTTTCTGATTAATAAGCCCATCAAAGATGTCTTTAGCATGTTGTATGGCAAGATCGATGGTTATTGTGAGATACTGTGGTGTATTGAACTTGTTTGAAGAGCATGATCCGTGCTCCTCCCACTCCCATCGCCAAAAATCCTTGTTCTTTTTGAAGTTTTTGAGCATAAAACAACTCGGCAAGTAACGAAGCAGATCCTGTTGGAATAGCTGAAGCTGCAATATTGGCGCGCACACATATATGTATGTGAGTGTGTGTGTGTGTGTGTGGACATGTATGTTGACATGGAAGAACGAAGCAATATATATGAAATATGAGTTAAAGAGAGTTTACAGTCTGATCAGAGACTCCGATGTTGAACAATTAAGTGGATACGACCCACCCTCAAACTGAGGCCAAAGTCCATGAATGGTGAACGTTTCTTGGTGTGTGGGCAGCGGAGGGTCTGGATTGTAAGGCCAACATAAAATGATCGTTCCCTGGTTGGGGGCCATTAATAAGCTGCTCTCTATCTTTGGCATTGAAGTGATACAAACCTAAGGCCACACCACATATCAAAACCAGTTTTAAGCTACTCACCGTCATGATCGATTATTGCTTTTTCTTTCTCATATTCGTGTGCTAGCTAGGGTTCTATATATAGCCATCTTCAACATCATAAGCTGGCAATTTTTATTATATTTTTTATTGCACGAAAATCATGATGTAATATTATATTGCGTAAAAAACTTAATACTGCCCAGATTTATATGAATGCTACCAAACATGAGAGAACCTTCATACTTGTTTGACATTTAGTGTAAGAGCTAATTAACTAATTTGAGTAGATCAAATATGTTAATTGAAATAGCTAATATGATATATTTTTTTCCTAAAATACTCTAAGCATCTTCTTAATTCTATTCCTTCCTCTCATACTTGAGTATTGTTGAGGAAACATCAAGAGGGTTAATTTAAGAAAAAATTGATAAATATATAAAATAAGTTTTATATTTAGGCTAACATTAACATTCCAGTTAGGTCTTACTTTAAGGACAAGGGGAGTAATAAATGGAAAAAAAAAAAAGGCAAGATGATGGATGCCTTGATGTTTTCATCAATATATACTGGGATCATTTACATAATGACCAAAATTTTAAACCAACAAGATTCGAAATAATTTATAATGACTCTTTTGGACTAGATCTCTTCATCTATTTAATAATTAAATCATTAATAATGACCAAGTATCAAATCAAAGCCATTAATTTGTCAATGGACAAAAGAAGCCATTTCAGGTTCAGCATCATATTGTCTTCGTAATTTTAATATCTCTAGCATCAGGTGGTATATGATTTTAGGCTATAAAACATAATATTATGTGAACTATTTAAGTAATAAGAGTTTATCGTAACAACAAACACTAGTGCAGAACTTGTGTAATTTTTTTTTCCCCGAAATGTCGTTACGTATAAAAACAAACGAATTTATATCTCTTTGTCATCATCTTCATCTTCATGTGTGAGGCGTCCCCTGCTGGCTATTTGTAATTTCTCACTCTCTGTATCCCATTTTATTCCTTCTCACTATTCACATCCATCATCTTCTCATTCATACGTAAATACACACACCCTACCTCTGATTCTAACTATAGTAAGTAGATAAAGGGTCCATTTTAGTCATAAATATAAAATCCTAATCTACTTTACTTCTTAAATTTATAATTTTTGACTCAAAGTATCCTTGTTAGCTAATTACACAGATTAAGAGAGTTGCGACTTAAAAGGTAGTTCCAATGTACATAATTAAAAAGGATAGTTTAAGAAAATCAAGACATATTTATTACAAATAACTAATTTAACTAATTTATTTAACTAACTTGAGACATTCATTTATTTATTTACATGTTTGTTTATTTCCTAAGCCTGCCAACTCAAATAAGACTTGTGATTATCTTAAGTAGATTTTATATCAGCGGGATTCACGGGGTGTTAAGTAATAAGCACAAAATCTCACAATATGGGAGCAGTATGCAATGACAGATTTTAATATAAGAAATGAC